CCCCCCCTCTCTCTCATACACACTCTCTCCACCCCTTGTCCATTATCTCTCTATCCCCTCTCTCTCCCTCCCCACTTTCCCTTTACCCCCCCTCTTCATTTTTTCCCTCCCTCTCTCTGTTTTCTCACTCCCTTTCCCAATTTTCTACCTCTTTCCACCCTTTCTCGCCCCTAGAACACTGTCCCAAATCAATGAGACGACACCCACAATATTATACACAAAACAGAGGCAGGTTTACGCAATTAATCAAATAGAAAACCCCCCTGAACATAGACAATTAGAAAGTTTACATGGGGAATCAAGGAGAACAGTAACAGCTATAAATAAACACACACACACAAACGACAATAACCAAATTACCAAAACTTTGCCAGACTAGAAAACACCAAGTGGCGTCGGTAGCCTAGTTGTTAGGCTACCGGACTCGTAATCGTGAGATTAGGGGTTCGGGGGTTCGGGCCTCAGCTCAGTCCGACGTTGTGTCCCTGGGAAAGGCACTTTACACGAATACTATCTACACTTGGCTCGGTCCTTTCGGAGACGGACGTTAAACTAGGAGGCCCCGCCTCTTAAATAACCGAATAGTGTTGATAGGGGCGTTAAACCCATACCATTTCATTTCATTTTCAGAAAACACCAATCGTCCTTATTGTTCCTCCTTCTTTTCTTTGTAGGCCTACATGTATGTTACTTATCAGTTTGTTTGTTTGAGTAAAGAGAAGCACATCGACACAATAATGGTCATACCGTGCTGGGGAAAAATAAGACACACAGACAGAAACAGCGGAGGGGAAAGTAAAGAAGTAGAACCTACCAAGGGGGCCCTCCAACCACCCATTTACTGACCAATAACGCCTTTAATCTTTATAGCGTAATAAAGAGCTGTGTCGCAAATGCCGTAAAACTCTCACTGAAGCGAAAGAAACAACCGCCTTCATCTCTTCCCATAAACCTACCTGTTCGTCACTTTTCTTGGCTTCATCGCGCGCATTTTCTATTGCCTGTAAAGATGTGAACATGTTATTGATACCAATATCAAGTACTGTAGTAGTAGTAGCAGTAAGTAGTAGTAAGTAGTAGTAGTAAGTAGTAGTAAGTAGTAGTAGTAGTAGTAAGTAGTAGTAGTAGTAGTAGTAAGTAGTGGTGGTGGTGGTGGTGGTGGTAGTAGTGCGGTGGTGGTGGTGGTGGTGGTGGTAGTAGTGCGGTGGCAGTTGTAGTGGTAGTGGTGAGTTGTGAGTGGTGGTGGTGGTAGTTGTAGTTGTAGTAGTTGTAGTGGTAGTAGAAGAAGGAGTACATGTAGTAGCAGCAGCAGTATCACTGTTGTTGTTGCTGTTGCTGCTGTTGTTGTTGTTATTTTGTAGAACAAGTTATTGTAGTTGCAGATGTAGATAATAATAACAAGTGGTAGTATTGATATGGACAATAGTAATAATGGTGACAATAATGCTAATGATACGTATAAAAATAAAATTACAGTAATAAATAATAATAAAACAATGATGAAATAATTATATTATCCATAGCAAAGGTAATAATGGTAATGGTGGTCACAATAATACTAAAAAAAGATTAATAGCAATATTGATGACAATATATAATAACAACAACAAATACAACAACAACAACAACACAAACACAAAAAGTAATGAAACGGCATTACAGTAAATTGTGTTTTTGTTTGTGTGTGTGTGTGTATGTGTATGTGTGTGTGTATGTGTGTGTGTGTGTGTGTGTGTGTGTGTGTGTGTGTGTGTGTGTGTTTGGGGAGCGGGTGCAAAAAGCGCTGTCGACGATTAAAAAAATTGT